TTCGATATCGATACATATCGTGATAAATGTCAAATCATGATTTCTTTCACGTTTGAAGGCTGATTTTGCTCCTGGGTGGTTAATTGTGGTTTTAAACTATCACTTATGGTCCGATCATGACAAACACTCGGCAAACAGTGGAACATTTTACTAATCTGCCATGGAAGAGTGGGAGAAGGTTTCTGAGCTGTTTTTATCAGCTTGAAAAGCACAGCTGCAATTTTTGTAATAGTCATGATTTAAGAAAAAAACAGATTATTTTCAGCTGTCTGGTGACGAGCGCTCGGCTACCCCGTTACAAATGCTAAACAAGTGGCCAACAACAGAGCTAAACTCTTTAGTTTCTCAACGACGTCAACTCGGTTCGGTAGGTCACTGCTGTCACTCCTACCACATCCATGTCAGAGCATATCACAGTATTCAGACACCAGCTAGCGACGACTAGGTTTCTCTATGCTATCGTAGTAGTTTAAGGGGTGAACCGCAGTATATCTGACGCTCGCTGTGTAAAAGCATTATCTGCAGTGTGAATCTCTCACACCAGTCAAACAGAGTCCTCCTTTTAGGTATGTTTAAACTGAAAGCGGTGATTTTGTGTCGTTTGATCTACCGTATCATCAATTCACCGTGTTGTGCTGGAGCGCTGCTTCAAGTTAGCCAGCAGCTAAAAACAGCTAGCCTGGAAAGATAGCGCTCTCCCGCTCTCCAATGCCTCACAGCTTCCTCAGTTTACTTTCGAAGATGAATCCACTTCTTTCTTTCACTTTCGTTGCTCGAGAGTGCACTAATACTAAAATATGATGGTTTGGCGCTGTAACACGGCGCTGCAGACCTGATTTAACGCCGCTAAAGTTGTTAGGATGTTAGTAAAGAGGTGAGTTCACTGTAGGACAGTACAGTTACGTCACTGATCTCGTCACTCACACTCGGTCACAGGAGAACTGACCGCCGGTCGCTCCACTCAAACAGGGACTGTATAACTCCGCGTTTCAGCCGTTGCTAAAGTATATTTGGTGACCCTTTTTTTACTCGTGGCCCCCTCCCTCTCTAATCAAGTTGAAAAATCCGGAAGTGCGCCCTCTCCTGGCGACAGCAGAGTAGTGTCGCTTTCCTTGCAGTAGAAAACGCCACCAGGGCTTTCGCTAAAACGTGGAAGTGTGAGAATGGTGTAATATATTGAACATATATCGAACATGTTGTATTGCTCTATCGAGGAAAAGTTATATCACGATACTTATCGTTATCGTTTTATCGCCCAGCCCTAGCGCTGCGTATAACTTTGTGCTTCTGTTTTCTGTTCATCTCTCTGTCTCTCTCTCTCTCTCTCTCTCTCTCTCTCTCTCTCTCTCTCTCTCTCTCTCTCTCTCTCTCCACTTTTCTCCACCACATGCTGCTTCTGTCTGTCCAGGAGAAGCTGTGTGTGTGTGTGTGTGTGTGTTTCAGCACCTGCTGCTTTAGTGAAACTCGAGCGTTATTGCTGCACTCTACTTTGCTGCATATTCAACTTTCTGTGCTCTTGTCTCCTCTACTTTTAAAGCTGGATGATGATGGTAGTTTGTGATTTGGTGAAGCACTTTGGCGTGGGGGGTAAAAGGTCTATAGTTTAAAGCATTTGAATGTGCTGCTGATTTAAGTTAAAGGGCTTTTAAGGTCATGCAGTAATAGATATGTGTAGTTTGGAGGTGAAGCTGTAGCTCTGAAACACCAAAACAGTGTGTGTGTGTGTGTGTGTGTGTGTGTGTGTGTGCATGTGCGTGTGTAACTGAAGCTCTGTGGTAAAGTCTGTACACACAGTAGCGCAGCTGTTCTCTTTTAGCTGAGACTGCATGACTTTTACTGTTCACAGTTAAGAGCTTTACCATGACTGGATAACACACGCTCACAGATAAGGAACTGCCGTGTTAAAGAAAGTTTAGGGTCACTCCACCCTCCACCCCCTCTACCCCACCCCTTTAGGACACATGTGACTCTCTGCTTCAGCACACAGAAGTGCATGTGATTTTGGGAATGTGTTATAATGATGTAAACAGGGTCTGACTGAGTGAGAGCACTGTCCTGCCTCAGAGCCCCCCTCGGCTCTCTGTTTTTCTCTTGTCTTTCAAGCTCTGTCCCCTTGATCATCTCTGCCTCTAGTCTCTTCTCTTCTCTTGATTTCTGGGCCAGTGACAGTGTTTTGTTTTGTTTTTGTCTTTAATTTATAATTTGCGCTCTTTTCTTCTTTGTGCTCTCATTTTCTCTCTCTTTCTCTCTCCTTCTTCTTTTCTCAGAGAGAACACGGTGTTCCTTTCCTCTCATGCCTCTGTTGGTTTGGCTCTGATCCTCTGTCTCAGGCTGCTCTCTCTCGCTCTCTCTCTCGCTCTCGCTCTCTCTCTCGCTCTCTCTCTCGCTCTCTCTCTCACTCTGCTACTGTGAGTTTCGGTAATAAACCTGATTTCATTATTAGGCAAAGAACACACTTTATATGAAGTCTGAGTGTTGTAAGGAGTGCCAGCCTCTGACATTTCTGTGATCTATATGTGTCTTATGCTACACAGAGTGCTGCTTAACATATAATAGTTTGTCAAAAAACAAAAAATAAATCAAATGAACACTTTTTTCCTCTTACCACAGATGCAGCCAGTCAGCCAGAACATATTTGGTGTCTGAATTATGAGGCTGAAGTAGCTAACAAGTAATACAAGATGCCTCAAACTGTGCTGAGGTGTTAAGTACTCTCAAATAGACGTGCTTATAAAGTTTCTGACACTGACATACTGTTATCTATAAAAGCAAAAAAAATGTAATGGTAAATAGAGTGTCTGGTGGTGGAATTCAGTAAATCTCTAGCTAGATACCTGAGGGCATCGTGGAGAAATGTGGAACCAAACTTTGTTCTTCAAACTATTCAAATGTAGAAGTTCTTGTTAGTCTTTTACTGTGTTTGTGTTTATTTGTATCATGTCTAATGATATATAGTGTTTTACAAGCGGAAGCGCACGTCTTGTCCAGATAAGTGGTTTTAAACAATGTGCTTAAGTGCCTAAGACGTCTTCACTGTGCTGTATATGATATAATACTGTAGACGTCTCAGTCGATCAGGGCAGCTTGAATAACAGTGAAACACCAGACAGGATTTTTCATATATTTCACCTCTCATGATTGAGAGAGAGAGAAGCTCAGGGGGAGGGCTTTATTGTTTTTGAACTTTTCCCTGTGAGGATAAATGGCTTTCTCTCTCTCTCTGACTCACTCTTTTTCTTTGTGTCTTTCTCCTAGTCTCTCTCTTTCTCACTGTCTTATTTGTGTCTGTTTGTATAGGCTGTCTTTCTTCCTTCCTGTCTCTCTTTTCTGCTCTCAATCTTTCTTTCTTTTTTCTCTTTTGCTTTCATGCTTTCTTTCTATATCTTCTTTTTTCCTTCTCTTTTTCTTGTCTTTCATTTTCTTTACTTCTCGCTCTTTCTTTCTGTCTGTCTCCCCTCCTTCTTTTTTATGTTCTTGTATGATGATTACTAGAATACAGGGTCCTGTATCCATTTATGTGCAGCTTATTAGCCAGTCAACTCATTTTTTCTTCGCTCTGTTTATTTATTTGTATTTATTAATTGTACAAGAAGGTACAGTAAATACAAACAAGAAAACAACAACAAAAAAGGGAATGTGCAGGGAAAGGAAAAAAAAAGTCTAGAAAGGGCTTGTACAAAGCATAAAATAAAAAAATATATAAATTAAATAAAAACAAAGACAAAATTACAAAAAAAACACAAACACAGTTTGTTTTTACATTTAGGTTTGTTAGAGAGAGAAGATGAGTTTTATTTCCACTTTCATTCATTTTAAGTTTATGTCTCTCTCTCTTTCTTTCTTTCTTTCTTTCTTTCTTTCTTTCTCTCTTTCTCTCTCTTTCTCTTTCTCTCTCTCTCTCTCTCTCTCTCTCTCTCTCTCTCTCTCTTCCTCCCTCTCTCCCTCTCTGCATTATCGTTGGCTGACTCAGTATTATTTTTTTCTCCTCTCGCTCTTCTGTTTTTCCGTAAGCTGCTGATGGAATGCTGAAAGTAAAGCGTGACAGTTGCACATTCCGGAGTGTTCCGTTTCCCCAGCGATGCGTCTAGCCCATCCTGAGCTGAACTCTGTGCTGAACTCAGACATGCACAGGTTCACTCTGGCCCGGCCTCAAGCCTCCTCTGGCTCGGCGCCACATGCCTGTGCTGCGTGTGTTCCACTGCAGTGGGAGCAGGAGAGTCTCTTGGGGCAGGCTGTACATGAAACAACAAACAAATAGCGTTTAAAACACTGTAAAACCCACAGGGTGCATGTGTTTTACAGTGGATTTTATGTTTGCAATTAGACTAAATCATCAAAGTCAATTAATGCTTTTATCTCCTTCCCCAGATCTGTTCAGTCTGCCACGTTCAGTATTAGGAGTTTGCTTCTTTAGTTTTGCATTAAAGCTACGAGGACAATGTAATTATGAACAAGTAAAAGAAGCTTATACCCCATTAGTTAGCACTGTGTGAACTGCATGTCTAAATTATCATACATTTGCCTCAAACTGTGTTGAGTTGTAATCTTAAAGAGAGACTTGCTTATGCAGTTTCTGATACTGTATATCGTACATAGTCAGCTTAGTTAGGCACAGATCTGATCACTTAGATACTGGTGGGGTATATGTTTGTTACTTGTTAGCTACATTAGCCGTGTATTTCAATTGCAAAGGTGAAATCAGTTTCAGACATAGGACACGTCTTGGCTGGTCAGCTTTGCTGCACAATGACTTTTTGTAGTACAACATCCACATCTTTCCTTCTACTGCCATTTTATTTTGAAACGAAAAGTTTCACAGTGTTGCCATACTGTAGACGCATCTGCCCTTTTACTGAACTTTAGCAGCTGTGTCTTTCCAGACCCAGCTGACCTCGAATAACTCTCTGTCTCTCTCTCTCTCTCTCTCTCTCTCCTCTCCCTCTCTCTCTCTCTCTCTCTTTCTCTCTCTCTCTCTCTTTCTTTTTTCTGTGTTTGTGCAGGTTATGCCTTCCTGCTGTTTCAGGAGGAGAGCTCTGTGCAGGCCCTCATTGACGCCTGTATTGAGGAAGATGGAAAACTGTACTTGTGTGTTTCCAGTCCCACTATTAAAGATAAACCAGTGAGTTTACCTGCCTCAGTGATGCTGCAGAAAGCAAAAAAGGCAAAATTTGACCATGTTAGTTATATGAAACATACATAACGATAATTGTATGTGATGTCACATTAAGTAGAAGTTTTTATTGCTAGTCATTGTTTTTCCAGTTGTTCAGTTATCTCATAGTTTACTACAAATCCAGTGTTCATAAGCATTCTCTTACAGAGCTACCTTAATTAGGAGCAGCGGTGCAAAAGTTTCAGTTTCTGAATCCTTAAACATATTTAAAAATGAAAGTTATTTAGTTTATTTAATTGTTTTCATTTTTCATTGTTTTCTATGGTAGTGTTTTTTGGCTTCTGGTTTTAATTACAAAAAATGGTTTTCTTTGTTTAAATGTCAGCTTGTCATTTTGATTAATGTTCTCTAACTAGTCCACCTTTCTTTTGTTGTGCAGTTTGTATACAACTTTTCCTCAGTAAACTGGCTATATCAACACTGGAAACCTATCAGAAAACACAGTGTACTCACTTAAGAAAGCAATTATTCAGAGAAATTGAGGATAGATTGAGATCTTCCTTGTTCTTCAGGTCCAAATCCGCCCTTGGAATCTGAGCGACAGTGACTTTGTGATGGACGGCTCCCAGCCTCTAGACCCCCGTAAGACCATCTTTGTCGGAGGGGTTCCACGACCTCTGCGCGCAGGTGAGAGATGACTTGAAAGATTGTGTGAGTCATGTGTTTGATGCATGTGCTTTTTTTAATGCTCCCTTTTTTGTTCTGCCTGTGTGAGAAGTATTGTTCATATTTTTAACATCAGCATCACTCTGCCCAGGGACTGCAGACAAAAATATAGCCATTTGTCTAAATCTGGCTCATTTACATCATGAAATAATGATGATGATTAGTGCACATTGTCCCTGATTAATAAACAGAAAGTAAAGATTTTTTTAGAGAGATGTTTTTTTTTGTTGTAAATGAGGCCTTTCTACAATCATACTGCTAGTATTTTATGCTACTTAACAGCCCTTTTCTTTTACACGTTACGGTGGTCTTTAGTTTTTTCAGTTGTAAGTTTGTTTCTTTGTGTTTTTCTTGTTTCAAATTTGGTTTAGAAAATTTTAGCTCAAAGTTACTAAGTGAGATTAAATTTCTATATATTTGAGCACATTTTGAGAACGTTTTGGGTGACTGTTTTGTGCTACTTTCTGTTTTTCTCTTCTCGTGTGTTTGTATGTTAATGTGTGTAGTGGAGCTGGCAATGATTATGGACAGGCTGTATGGAGGCGTGTGCTATGCTGGCATTGACACTGATCCTGAGCTAAAGTACCCCAAAGGGGCTGGCCGAGTGGCCTTCTCCAATCAGCAGAGCTACATTGCTGCCATCAGCGCTCGATTTGTCCAGCTGCAACACAACGACATTGACAAACGAGTAAGTATACCAAGTGTCTTCCCTATTTACTGCTGTCCTTTCGGGTTTGCTGAATGTTACATAATTGTCTATCAGTTATAGAAAAACTTCTTGGCTGTCTTGAACCCAAAATGTTTACCTTTGACACAGATACTGAGTAAAATATCATAGTGCTCGGTAGGGGTGCGGGAAAAAATCGATTCTTAGATGCATCGATAATCGTTTTATAATCACATCGCAGCCCTCTGAATCGTAATCGAATCAAATCGTGAGGTGCCTAGAGATTCCCACCTCTAGTGCTTGGTACTTTAACATTTCCGGCATTTGGCAGACACTTGTATCCAGAGCGACTTACAAATTGATCATTTTTACAGAAGTAGGTGAAGGTAGTGTGACCTTACTGTATAGTATTGAAAAAAACATTGACTTTATATTGTTCAAAACTACTTGAAAATATGTATGTGATATGAAAAAAGTCTGGATTTCTCGCAGCACCACACCCTTACTTTTAAGCTCAGTCTCCTATAATCTCAAGAACTTACAGGACTCTGTATGTATGTTCTTGTATTACTGTGTTTATGTGGGAGCAAGTCTATGTGTGGAGTTCAGACATTGTAGATCATCCCTCTTGAAGCTCTACGCTGCCAACAGTCCATTCTGGTTGCCAGAATGTCCCGATTGCCCTCAGAACATTTCCCATTTCCAACAATACAAACGGAAACCCTTGGGCCGGCCATGTAATCAGCATGACCATTGGCTTCTGGAGGACTGACAGACATTTGAAGTTTCAGACACTGTCTGCCTAATTATAGACCTTTGCTTTTTCTTTCACATGCATATCCAGTGGAGCCGCTGGCTATTTTAGGCGTGTTCTCCTGTAGGGCATAACTGATGGTGACCAGGCTAAGACTGGCAGTCTGCCAGTTTAGTCAGATTGGGTTGAGGCTGTGTATGTGTGTGTGTGTGTGTGTGTGTGTGTGAGAACCTGTCACTGAATGGTATGGCTGTCACTAAACGTGATTGCCCAGAGGCAACCTGCTTTTGGGGCAGTACAGTACAGACTTAATGTGGTAGCAAGCAATTAAACTGGTTTTATTCAACTCGTGTAAATACAAAATTATAATTCCGCTGAAAAAAGACAATATTTTACCTCAGTTCAAACCTCAGAAACACTATGCCCTCTTCTACTTTTTACAGTGCAAATTTAGCACTGTTTTATTAAAAATGTACTGAAAATGTTTAAAAAGCACTACAAACACACATCCACCACAGGTATTATCTTCATGGAACCTCTTAAATACCAAAAACATCAACTACAATTAAATGAATATGGAATTATCACCAGCACTATTACTGTTTACTGTAGATGTTAAAAATAGTCACATGCCAAAGCCTGAATACCCCCAGTCACATTATATGTTTTTGTTGAATTTTTACATGACAAAAGCAATATTTCCATCAGCTTCTCTCTTGTTCCACCTTTTTCAGTATATTTACTTCCTTGGTGACTTTTGAAAAGAAGGTAATTGTACATGGTTGTTGGAATTATCAGAATCTAAAACGTTATTGTCTCAAGTTCAGTGTTTAACTTGCACTGAATTCTGAATTTCCACCAAACGACAGACACTTTCTCGAGTACGTTCCATTTCAGACCTCTATTTTTAATTTATTATTCTTGTTGAGTGCGTCAAACCTGCAGCAAGTCATGACCTGTGACTGATTTCTTATTTATTTTTTCCCCCTTTCATTCAGTTCTATTCAGAGGTTCTGATGACTCAGCGGGGGGCTGAGTTTGTTCTTTGATGTGTGATATTTAAGGGAAGGCCAGGTGTAATTGCTCTCACTGCATCTGTGTGCCATTTAGCCACAAAGGTGACTGTGACATTTTCCATGTCCGTGTGATTGGACAATGAAACTAGACTCAGTGTGCACTGAATTTAACCATCGTCTGATAGAAGAATCATTAGCAGTAATTGGTTTTCTAGTATAAGTGTCTGTAGAATCATCAGGAATTTTAGAGAATCAGAGGTAGATGGCATACAATGTACAAAAATTGGGCTGCACGCATACTGCTTTCTGTCATTATTTTAGAACAGCTTTTTTTTTGTTTGTTTTGTTTGTTTTATCCTGCCTCTGGGGGTCTGCAGCACTGCCTAGGCTCAACTATTTTCTGCCTCAATCCACACCTAATCCAGCTCAGGAAGGTCTTGATAATCAGTTGATGAGCTGGATCAGACTGCGAGCTGTGGGTGTCCAGGAGCAGGATTAAAAATACAGAAAATCATAGAAAACAAAAAAACAAGAACACCAGAAACACCCTGGTGTTATCGGCACGCGTCTGTAGTGATGCTGGAGTTATTGGTACGTGGTTGCAGAGCCACAGCCATCTAGCCAGAGCCGGCCCAGATGCTTCCCTACAAGTACTAGCCAAGCCCAGCTGTGGCAAACCGGGTTAGTGGCCATATTGTTTCTGACCACATCTGACAATCTGCCAACTGTGCTAACAGCAAAGTGGGAATTGGGCAGGGGCATACCCAAGGAGTGGCCAGTGCCATCCTTGCATCATGTATGACCACCATTCCCGACCACCCAAGTTATGCAAAGTGTGACAGTCAGCTATCATTAATAAAGCAGTCACTGAGAAATGTTCTCCTACCTATTCCGTGTGAACGTTTTTACTTCACTATAAAAAAAAATCTGTTACCAATAATTATACGAGTCGGATGAAGCTGCACTCAATAATCAGCTTGTCATTGCTCTGATAGTGCTGAGAAAACAAATTAGTGAATGCTAGTCAAAGCCTTAATGTTAGCCTTCATTTTGTTTTAAAGAAGCAGCTAACATTGGACTTCTGCTTTAGGGCAACACGGTTAAAGGCAACTAAAGAATTAATTCTGCCTCAAATTAATAGAGTATTTTGTTTTGTTAAGCTGTTGAGCTGTGAATCGCATGATTTTAACCAACAACAGTATTTAGCAGTAGAAATTATATATATATATATATATATATATATATATATAGTTTTTTAACCAAAAACAGGAACAAAATCAGTTTCAGCTGTTTTTGACAGTTGACAAAGTTATTTTAATGATGTAGGCCTAATATAAGTGTGGAAGAACTGCTTTTTCTTCCCCCTCCCCAGTCGTTTGCCACCCCAAGAAAAATATCAGTTCTAACTTGGCCACTTGACCAGATGATAAGACTATAAGCTGGATAAGAATACAAGTTCTCTGATTAACCAAAATAATAATAAACTCTTATTGATCAGAATTTGGCTCTGAATGAGCTGAACCTTCACTCACTAGGAAAAAAATCACAGTGCATCTAATAGTAAAAAAAAAAGGCCTGGTGCATCTTTTATACAGTGATAGAACCAGCAGTGCATTGAAATCTCTGATTCTACGTGCTAAAACATTTTACTGACCAGCACAACCATACACACACACACACACACACACACACACACACAGACTGTAATCTCAGATGCAGATTTAAAATAGTCTCTAAATGTATCACTACTAAGATGTTTGGTTTGCTAAAGTTAACTGGTATTTGCATGATCTCTAACCCCTGCAGTGCAGCTCTGCTTCTTTTGTGACCTGTTCTCTGCTGCCTGCTCTGTTTTGGTTAAGCTCATCAGCAGTAACTTCTGTCTCTGTCCGTAGGTGGAGGTGAAGCCGTACGTGCTGGACGATCAGATGTGTGATGAGTGTCAGGGTGCGCGCTGCGGGGGGAAGTTCGCCCCATTCTTCTGTGCCAACGTCACCTGCCTGCAGTACTACTGCGAGTACTGCTGGGCCAGCATCCACTCCCGTGCCGGCCGCGAGTTCCACAAACCGCTGGTCAAAGAGGGAGGAGACCGGCCCCGCCACGTCTCTTTCCGCTGGAGCTGATGGGGGCTCACTCCAGCCCCTCCCCGTCAATCTCCGATCACCCTCCCTGCACAGCCTAGATCAGTGCTGACCACCCCCTCCCCCCAGTCAACCAACTAACCACCACCGTCATGACTACAAGCGACAACTACAACTGAAGATAACATGGGTCTTTTATCTTTTCTTTTTAGAAACAAAAAAAAAAGAATCATCACAGCTCTTAATATCTTTGTCCACTATACTCTCTGCTAATGAACATTCAGACAAATAAGAATTTTGAGAGTTTTTCTGCTCAGAAATTGCACTTTGGCACACATGTACACAGATCACACTTGATGTTGTTAGCTAGGTTGTGAGAATACTGTTCTTTTCAGATTTATTTTGGTTTTCTTTTTTGTTTTTTTGTTTTTTTTAATTTGGTCAGTGTTCCCTATAGGATACCATTAGACAAGAGTGAGGTTATACACATGCAAACACACATCTATATATAAATATATATACATATATATATATATATTTAAAAAGAATATATTTTTTATTTTGTATCTATCTATAAACACATAGATAATTTTGGATTTTTTGTGAAAGAAGCATGCACTTATTTTCAGAAATGGTAGATGATTGCCCCTAGTAGAAAACGAGGGAGAGGAAATTTAAAGTACCAAAGGTAAAAACATATTAATTCATTAAGAAATTCAGGCATAGGTGGCATATGATGTAGCAAATTTCAGCGATTTATGACATTCTGTAGTAAAAGGTTAAGAAAAAGAGAAATACACCCAAATTAGAATAATACACCTATTTGCTCTCCATTTTGGAAATACTAGTACTATTAATACCTCATGTTCGCAATCAGAAATTAGTTTTCTTTGCTTATAATTTTTAGGCCTTTATTTTTTTAAATAATATTATTTTTTAGTGTTATGTACATGTAATGCTGCAATAGCTTTTGCTGCTAAATCCATGGTATATGAACCTATACCATAGTACTTTATTCAGGCTAGGGTGTGGATGAGATGAGGAAAGGTTAGGGCACCTGGTTGTGGGGTGGACAGGCTAGCATGAGAGAGGGGGGCCTTCCCCCCCAGGACCGCACTCGGCGGGGTCGGCGTTTGCCCCTAAAACTGCATGTTTATCCAAATCAGGTTGCTGCATGCAATAGAATTTTAGTATCGAGTCTACTATTCAACTCGGCCCACTTTGCACACCGTAGATGAACACACAGAGCACGAAAACTGGACAGGAACGAGAAGCCTGAGGGGAGTCCTGATTGATGATCTCCCCCCGCCCCGAGTGAAACTCGGCCTGATTCGCGTCAGTGAGTGAGCGGACGACTACACTGCAATTACAAATTAAAAGGCCTAGATGTAGGATAGCCTTCAAACAAACTGTCTCTATAGTAGGTGAAGAACATTTTTTGCAGTGATTGTTGATATAATTGTGCAATTTTTTATACAGTATGTAGTTAGGTTTGAGTATGCCTAGAACTGTGATTCGCTTTAACTGTTATTGATGTCTAACACAAGTCCTGTGAATCTTCATACCCAGTGTATACAGCACACACAGACATGTATAATCACACACAGAGAGCCTCTTCCCTGATTGTTGTTCCCAACACACGTTCACGTACTCTGACACGACTACACTTCTGCTAGTTCTCACTCACATGAGGACATAAAAGGTGAGCTTGACTCTGAGAAACATGAGTTCTCTGTGTGTACCGTTTATTATTTTCATCTATTGTCATATCTCCCCTTCCCTTAACCCCTACAAAACTAAGAGAAGAAAAAAACTCCTAAAACAACCCACCAAAGAGCTCTCACGGTCTACACTCCCACCCTTCACTAGAACTAACAGCAGGTCAGGCCGTGTTCCTCACACCCGTACACTAGCCCGACTAGGAAGGCGATCAGAAAATATGAGGAGACGTACGCTCGAGCTCCCTCAGAGGCCCTCATACACAAGCTCGAACAGTGTGGCTGTAGGGCATTGGATTAACATTGCCAGAACATTGTGTGCTTGCTGCATTTATATACAGATTTTTTCCTGCAAAGCTTGAAGAATAGAAACAACCTGCTAATAACGATGGTGGATATTTTTTAAATGAAATAGTCTATGGTTATGGGAGGGAGGGAGGGAGGGTGGGGGGGAGAGTGGGAGGGGTTATGGAAAAGCAAACCAGAATGAAAAAACCAAGTATCGGCTGCTGACTTGGGGAAGAGTTGAGTTTGCTACAAGAGTGAGTTGAGGGGGCTTAGCAACACTGAGGCTTCAGCACATGGCTGCTGTGAGGAGTGTGTCCTCCAAACACTGCGAGCAAGTCGTGTGTATCACATCCCTGTTCTCATTTAGTGCAGGAAAAACCCTGCAGCCTGGGTTTTTTAGTCATAAAGGATGGAACTTTTTTTGTTTTGTTTTGTGTTGTTTCAGAAAAATGGAAAATGTAAACAATAAAAACCTACTTTTTTACTGATGGAGAAAAACCCAGAAAACTAACCAAGAGGTTGACAAGTTACGGTGAGAATCCCTACGGACGTGAATTCTGGGTGGTTTTGTGATATTTCCTTCCCTGCCCAGAAGAGTTTTCTATATCTGTTCCTTTTTTCTGTAATAGACATTTGTTATGCACTACTCTTTGTATCTGGATGGTTAGCTATCAGTCAGCTATATTGTTTTTTCTTTTCTTTCTTGAGAGAGCGAGAGAGAGAGAGAACCGTAGAAAAAATGTGTGCTTTCTGACTGACATGATCTTTTGCAATACCTCAATTTTGAAATATAGGAGAGAAATTGATATTTTCTAAGTAAGTTTATTCAAATACAAAATATATATTAATTTAAATTTGCAAGAAAATGATTTAACAGATGGTTTATTTTATTTTTGTCATGTTTGTTTGCTTTTACTTTTAATTTTATTGTTTTTTGTTGTTTTTTTTTGGAAAAAAATATAAAAAGAAAAAAAAAAAGCAACTGAAGGAGCTAGAGCTTTATAACTTTAATATAGTCATAGCTGAAGTGTAGAGACGACCTTGACGCAGAGTTCAAAGATTCCCCACCCTTATGACGTGACAGTGTTAAAAAGAATCAGTTCTTACAAAACCCACCTTGACCCCAGACAAAAGAAAAAGAATGGTCAACAGTCCTTTAGGTGCTTAGAAAGTCAACTGAAGATCCTTCCCATGTTTTTGTATGGAGTTTCTAATCGGTCATTGACTACGCTGACCAGAGGATTAAATCTTCTGTTCATGTTCAGTTTTTTTTAGAGAACTTTTTTTATGTTTGTGTTCCCCTTTGTTTTGTAAAAGATGCAAAAATGCCCTAATTTGTGAACCTGACCTGGTTTAAGCTAAATCATTTTGGAGGTTCCTGGAGAGAAAGAGAGAGAAAAGCTTGTTATTTTTAAAGCAAAGAGATGCTAAACGTTTCAGCTGTAACTTGATCGAAAGCCCCCAAGGTGCATCAGCGGTGTGGTGGCCTTCTATTCACCTAAGACTTGAATTAGTCCCATTTTTTTAAGGCTATAACCTCGATTCTTTGTTGTAATGTGCAATACTGTTTGTACTGTTTGTAAAAAAGAAAACAAAAAAAAAAGAAAAGAAAAAGAGGCATAAATCTTTATTGCAGATTTATTTTCATTGCAAGCATTGTGATTCACTAAAATCATTTTCTACTGTGTATTTACCTACTCTACATGCTAGTACCTTCCAGTGGTAATGTAGCCTTTGTACTGAGAAATTTTTTCATTATTTTTAGAGATTTTTTGCAAAAAAAAAAAGAACGGAATTAAAACATTTACATATTTTTTTTTTTCTTTTTTTATTTCATATTTCTTTACAGACTTATTTCTCAACCATTAATATTAGCTGTATTTCTGGGGGAGACTTTCATATCTGGTCAATGTCATTAATATTATTTTGTATTTTTTACTTGGAATAAATTAATTTTATGATGCTAATTCTTAAAAAAAATTCTTTTTTGTTCATTTTATTTTATGAAGCTGAAAAAAAAACCTTTGTAATGTTACTAAAGTGTCTAGAATTTTTGAAATGCAAAGCTTTGTGTTAACTCGCTGATGTTGCTTACATTAGTGTGACGATCTAAAGTATGGAAGAAGAAGAAACTCACTAAAAGAAACTAAATGATGCTTGGTAATGTAAAGTGATTGGCAATGTATTGAACGGATGGGCAATAAAAGAAAATGGCAGAAAGGAGCCAATCTGAGGTGGATGTTCTGATGGAGCGGGAGCCGGATAGTACTGCAGTTGCTTCTGTTTTTATTGCTACCACTTAAAAGCCCACTTTTGTACTGTAAATGCAAACTTCAGTGGCCAGAGGAGACGTCACAAGACCTTTCTGGAAGCATTTCTCACCCTCTGATCAACCAAACGCCCAGTGTAGATGCTTTTCCAGCAGCTTAGGCCACCACGGTGATTGTAGCCCTGCTTGAATGTACTTGCTTAGACTTTTCTCACTTCATCACTGCAGATCATGGATATTTGTTGAGCTTCATAATGCGCTTCACTTCTTTAAGTGGGTTAAATGGCCAGCATTGTGTGTCAGTAAGTGTGAAGGCCTAGACTACAAATGACATCATGATCACATCTCTGACCGGCATGACCATTACATATTGCGCAGATAGCCCCTTGCAATGCTCCAGCAGTGGTCTTGTGATGACCCCCTTCTGTGCCGAGGTCAAACTAAGCAAGAATGTTCTTTCTAGCTTGCCTTTTTTGTACCTGTTTGTTTTGGCCTTTTACTAATCCTAGACTTGCATACTAACCTGCTGGTGTCCTCCTCCTCCTCAAGGTTATTATTTGGCTCATTACCGTCACGTATTGATTAATATTATTATTTCACGATTAGCACACTGCAACCATTTTGTACCCCCTGTAATAAAATGACCTTACTATGTAATCAATAGGGTCACTAAACAGTTGATGGGGACAAGAAAATGACCAAGAAAAGTCGTATGGTGATGGCAGTTTCACGTAATCTCTGTCTATATATTTCATGTAACGATAGATTTTGGGTAGTATATATTCACCTGTGCTTCATTGTCATTCTCTGTGGGCGAATCGACAGCCCATTCAATCATGTTGTGGTTTCCAAAAAAGCAAAAAAAAAGCAAATATATATTAAAAAAAAGATTGATTTCCTTCTCTAATTTGTTTTAATTTATAACTAATGACAGGTTCTACCATGACAACGTTTTGAGATTGTTGACTTGGACCTGTGC